AAGGGCTACTGCAGCCGCCACGCGATCCTTATGATGCCCCTGACGCCGCCACACCAGCTCGAGGCCAAGATGGACATGACCATCTCGCCGGCCGCGCGCTGGCCAGGCGGGAATGGCTTCGTCGCGTTCCGGCTCGGGAGCACAAAGAAACAGTGCACGTTTCCCGACTGCACTCGCCGCGCCCACGCTCGGCGCATGTGTGTGCGCCACGGAGGCGGCCGCAAATGCTCAGTCGAGGAGTGTACTAGCCACGCACGGTCGGGCGGCCTTTGTTGCCGCCACGGACGCGGCCGTCTCTCGCCACCCTCCAAGTGCAGTGTGGCGTGGGGTACCCCCGAGGTTGGGACATTTGAGATTGCGATGACGGAGCTCGACACTGCCATCCTCAACAGCCTCGTGCAAGACGACGACGATACCGACGACGAATTCTCGCTCCTCGACCCGACGTGGCTCTTTACAGAAACGATCAATATGGAGCTGGTAGATTTTGGGTTGTAATACGCTCTTCAAATATATATTATTGCGCACGTCTAGCATGCGTTCGACTGCAGTGGGCTGCAGAGAAACAAGGACAGCAAGATCTTAGTACGTCTAGAAAGGAAATCGCATAGACACGAGTGTACACGGCAGCGCTGAGGTTGAATCTGTTGAATGCACCCAAGAGAGGACTGCCGCGGATGCGTCGTGGTGCAGGGTCAAGCAGAGAATGTAAGCGATGTCCCTCTGATATTGTCGCGCAACGTGGGCTCTTGGCCTACCGCACGCATGGACGTCGAGTATGTCCCACAACAGTGCTTCAAGACAGCAAAGAAAGATACCACCAACCGGCGACAAGTAGCCTAGTTGCAGTGAGAACTGCGCCGCTCGCTCTAATTTTGGATCTGTTGGGTGCAGAGCCTTTCTGCATTGACAGACTAGCTCGGTAGATTTTCTCTTGGGACAAGAGGCACCCGTAGCTTCTACCGCCATATTATTCAGCTCAGGGAACATTTGCGGGCGGCGTCCACTGGCTGTGTTGGGTGCTAGTGGGATCCCGTGATGGTACGTAGCTGAGGAGGCACCCTTCACAAAACAAATCCAGTGAGGTTAGTCGTGTTGTGTGTACATGTATACCGACCGGTACGTGTAGGACAATAATTGCCATTTTTATACACGCCATGCACGACATATCATGCAACAACATCAACAAGGACTAAAATACTGATATCGCGTCAATTTGTGCCAATGGTTGCGGCGAGTATTTTGGCGCCAAAAATCTGATTCAGACGTTGAAGTCGAAATGAAACGGCGGGGATCACGCAAGCGAAACACTTTGGGCCCTCCGATTCACGGCATTTGGTATCGTGGTGGCGTAGTCGAGCTCATTTGCAATGATCTCTAATAGATCCTCGTTCCCGACTTTGTATCATGTGATTGCAACTGAAGGTAGTGTGTTTGTCCTTTGTCCCGACAGAGACAGCATATGCATATGCTTCCTTTAGTAGAGACAATTGCGACCTCTATTTAAGAGCACCTGCTCAAACTTAGTTGTGGAGCATCTGCAATCAATGCTTCTTGTCTGCGCAGTGCATACCGCTTTGACCGCTCAATCAACGACCAGTGCATCGCTTGCTGTCGACAACCGCCCGCAAGACTTGATTAGCACTCCTCTACAACATCCAATAAGCATACCGTTAGGACTACGATGGAGATTTTAAAATGTAATGCCTTCATAGCGCCAGTTGTGCGCAGGGCCTTCACGTCGCTCCAAGGTTGCGTGTCGGTGCCATCCAAAACGAGCACAATTTTTCAGCTTAAATAACAAAAAACTTAAATAGGTTTTCAAGCAACGAGGCGAGCGACTGTATCCGGATGGGCGCGAGCGACGACACACGTGCGCCTGTCTTTTCCCCTCGAGCGTCTCACGAAGGCTGCGACGACGCTCGTTGCCGCGCTCAGCGACGCCGACATATCGCACGACGTAGAGAGGCCTTCGCGCCAAGGTAGGATTTGCGAAACACAGACTTCATCGGGGACTAAATGGTTGCTATTGCTACGACTAATTAACTAAACTACGTCATCTTCTTCTAATATCTTACGCTGGCGAGAGAGGCCGCGGCGGCTGCTCGTACGCAGTAAAGCCTTGCGCGTACTCTGCTTTGGCGGCCAAGTCGCTGCGTACCGCATACTCGCTGTGGGTCGCATTTGTGTTGTTGCTCGT